GATTTTAGCCAGCGTGGTTGAGCGGCAAAATTATTCACACCAAATAGTTAACGTCTTGCCTTTTGATCTCCAATCGATAAAATTGTCATTGTCTAAAGCATTATCAACTGAATATATCTTACTAAAAATCAGCAAGAGTGTTGTTGGGACTTAACATTAGACCCAATGCCGAGAGGCCAAGGTTTCTCATTTAAATTCCTGGTTACTGATATTAGTAATAGTATCTGTTTATTATGATGATGCATATGTTCTCAGTACCATCTTAAGGCCAATGTTAGAGAAATCTTAGAAATGTCTCTGAAGTCTGTGTTGCTTTTTATTGTTTTCTCAATCAAGTAAATGTGGAGAAGTCGACAGAATTTAATGAATTTTACATTTTACGAGCGCATGATAATGTCAACTAATCTTTATTGTCAACAATTTGAACCAATCAAAAGGTTGGTTGGTTGATTCATTTTTTTACGGCTTATCAGCCCTTTTGAAGGTTATTTAATGCCAGAAAATACTATTTACATTATTCGGACTATTGTCCTCATCTTTGTCGCCATATTTATTACAACGTTTCGGCCGTTGTACGCTTCGAGCTTCTTCAGGTGGTTGGAATGTTGAACTGAACCCTTTATTTCGCTCACTGGGGTAGAATGTTCTACTTCCACGTGCCATGTTTAAACTGAACTGAACTGTCGAACTGAAACCTTTATTTTGCCTTTATCCACTGTGCCATGTGTTCTTGAGGACACAAAGAATGTGAGTTCAATACCCGGTTAAGGCAGTGGAGAATTAACAGGAGATAACTGACAACTGACATCCATTAAACTATATCCGTGTTCTGGGTAGGGTGATAAACTACATTCGACAGCAAAGCCTCTAATCAGGAGAACGTGGAACTACCTCTTAATTGCTGGTGTTTGAAGAAAAAAAAAGTTACCACCCATAGATTTTTTAAGGAGAAATATTACGAGCATTAAAAAAATCAAAATAAAGCTATATTATACATTTACTATTTCTATAATACAATTCCTAAATTTATTTATCAGTAAAAAAATAAAATAAGATTTTTTTTCATTGAATGTTTGGGGTGGTACCAAAAACATTAAGAGTAAAAGTTGTCCATGCCAAAAAAAAAAAAAAAAAAAAAAAAAAAAAAGAAAAAAAAAGAACGATTGATGATCACTAATTAATTAATACCTATTTTTGGGTGAGGGTGGGTGAGGGTAATTAATAGGCTATGCGTAGAATCCTCTAATTAATCAATTAATTAATTAATATCGGTTTTTTAAAACGTGCCATTTATTAATGCATTCACTTCGACAGCTGTCATTAATATCAGATTCGTACTTTAAATTGTTTGATAATTAATACGGTATAATTGATACAGTGTGGTTTATTAGGTTAAGCCATCTTGAAATTCATCTAATTTTCATATTTGCATTTTTTTCTTATTTCTTCCCAATAATAAATAAAACCTGACATTCTTCTTCTTTAATGTGCCATGTCCCTTCAGGACGTAGGTGATCATGGGCCTCCACATCTTCTTGTTGCTTGTGGCTCTTAATGTGTTTTGTCTTTTTGTTATTTTTTTCAAACCCTGTTCTGCCATCCATTTGCTCAAGCCCATCAAGTATGTCACACAATACTCTCCTCTGTCCCTCTTTCTCTCAATCTGCCCTGTGAGTATCAGATTTTCCAAGCCCTCCTTCCTCATTACGTGTCCCAGAAATTTCAACTTCCTCTTCCTTGATGTTAAGTATAAATTTTCTTTTTGTTTTTAGTAACTCCAAAAGCTCGTTGTTGCTCATATGTTTCGTCCATGGTATCCTCAGCATCCTTCTGTAGAACCATATTTCTGTTGTTCCATGTCTCTTCTCCATCTTTGAGAAGATTGTTCAGCCTTCGCTGCTATACAGGAGGACAGTTATCACGTCACAGTTCAATACTCTTTTCTTTGTTTCCAAAGAAATTTTTCTATCTCTCAATACTCTGCCTAGCTTTTGGAAAGCATTATTGGCCATCCCAATACTGACTTTCCGGATAATAGAATCAGTGATCCGGTTTAAAATTCTAATCTTACATTTTTTTTTCTTTTGGTGCCATTAGATTTCTTGACCATTTTGGAGGAAGTGGTGTGTTTGATGATGAATTCGTTGGTATGTTTGACGGTGTGCTTCATAGCGGATTCGGTGGTGGCTTCGATGGTCAAGTGCAAAGCAAGTGAACTTTTTTTTTTAGCTATAAATCACTACGAGGAAGCAAGTTGACGTCGAATGTGGAAATGAATCACTATTCACACAGCAGAAAATGGCGGCTTGCCAGTATATAGCGGCAATCAAAATATCATGGAGGAGTGTTAAATTAAAAAAGAAGTAAAAGAGAATTCTAATATGGACGTTTTGAAATTCGTCATCCATACATGACCGCGAATTAATCCTCAAGATTTTCCCGTCACATCGACGGTTCTCGGCTCATTCAAGCGGCTGACGTAATTTTCATTTAACTAATTAGTTAATCAACCAGTTTTATTTATTGCAGTTTAAAGAACTTGCTTATTACATTCCCAGAAATGAGAGTAAAAAAACCAATGATCCTGGTGTTTAGTCGGATTAGATATTTATTCGGATTTCTAGATGTCTCTTAATCTGGTGACAGTTCATTTCTGACCCAAATATATCTATCTTTTGAGTTACATGGACTGGTGGGAAAAATAGTAAATTGGAAGAAGACATTTTGATGAAATATTGATCAGATTAAAATGAACTTTGAAGGGAATGAATTGTATCTGTAGAATGGATGGACAGAAACACATGGACTCACCAAGAGAAACTAGAATAAAACGTTTTGAGCAAATTTGGGTCTGTTAAAAAGAAGGTTGGTTGAATTAAAAATAGATTGACAGAACTACAAACTGTCTATATTTCTGAGATGAGGTATTATGTACATTATTTACATTATTCGGACTATTGTCCTCAACTTTGTCGCCATATTTATTACAACGTTTCGGCCCTTCAGTATCTGTCTATATTTCTGAGATGAGGTATTATGTACACTTTAGATTATTCGTACTATTGTCCTCATCTTTGTTGTCATGTTTGTCACATCCTGGGTAAGACGACAAACTACATTCGACAGCAAAGTCTCTGATCAGAAGGTTATCAAAAGCATAAAACAGCCTTTTAATTGCTAGTGTTCCCAGCTCCACCCTGACTTGGGGTGGTACATTTTTGAAAAAAAAAAATATTACTACATTCTTGGAAGAAAAAAGATATTACCAGCAAAACATTTTTGTAAAAGAATATTGCCAGCAATACATTTTTTAACAAAAATATTACCAGCAATAAAAACCTTGTTGGCATTAAATAACCCATTGAGGTGTTGATATGCCGTAAAACGAAACAAACCAAATTAACCAAACCAAAACCGGCCAAATCTCTGACACAAAATTTTTCTACGTGCCAACAAAATTTCTTTGAAACCTCAAAACTAGCAAGAACTAAGTTGGAACTGAGCCTACCTAAAATGAAGTTCATAAAAGTATTAGCCTGTTTTTTTTTTTGTCTTGTTCAGTTCACAAGAAATTAATACCCTTTGTTCCTCTTCAGTTTTATTGCTTAAGTTCTGAACACTTTTAAAATGTTTCTTTGCAGAAGAAGTCCTACAAACGATTGTTTTGGAACAGAATATGCTTAAGGCTTTATCGTCTTTCTTAATCATGACAAGTTTTTTGAGTCCAATCTTCTTTAAATTCTCTAATATCCTCTTTATTTAAATGACATCATTTCTTAGCTGATGATCATAACATTCTGCACAATTTGTAAAGGGCAGAAAATAAAAATACATGAGATAATGATAGACATGAAAGAATAAAAGGAAGTCAAAAAGGAAATCTAATGAATAAGTTTCGCGTGCCAGAAACAAGTCATCGGCGTGCCATGTTTGGCACGCGTGTCAAGGGTTTCCAACCTCTTGCATAGTGGGTCTTGGGTATAAAGGTCTGAACTGATGGAACTAGAGAATGTGGCTCGTCGGAACTTTTTCCATGGGAATAATGGCTGAGTAGTGAAAGACAATGCACCTGTGGGAAAGAGATTATTGAATAGAAAAGAATTCATCACCCACAAGGCAGAATAGACGTTTTTGAATTCTAAAAAGAGGGGATTTTGCAGCTCCAGCCCAGATACGCCAGAAATACTGTATTTTTGGACTGATCTAACTCTGAATTTACCGGAGACCTCCCCACAAGGCTGGGTGTGGCATTCTTTAACGTGGGGCATTCTGAGCCCGTAGGCACTAGCAAAAATTCCCCGTAGACCCTGCCGGGTTTGTCTATCTCCCCAGACGAGACTCTGTCCTTCGGCATAGCCTCATCTGGGATCCTCTCTCTCTCTCCGAAGGCAGAGAGTTCGACAAGCTCTAAGTGCTAAGCGCGCGGTGAAGTTCTATTGCTAACTGGTCTGATCTGACTCTTGTAAAAATTGAGACTGACAGATGAGGTCATTCTGGAGTAGTATAAGGAACCAACCATTTTCCAGCGACTCTATGGAACCTGAGGGACGTGAGTCCTAAAAGATGCTCAAAATATACTCGGCTGTCCGAGAAATAACGTTCTTTACTAGGCTCACTAAATTTATTTTCGAAGAGCACAATTTTCATTGTTCTCTTATATCTTAAAGCCTTTTAGGGCAGTGCGATTGTATCGCTCCACAACTTTCTTGTTACTCTAGGTACTATCCCTCACTGAACATATTCAAACATTCTTGTTAGGTAGGCCAGTCACTGTCTCCTCTTAACTTCAGTATGTCCTTTCAGTGTCAAATTCTCTCGGCAATCTTTCCTCATTATGAAGCCTTGAAATTTCAACTCTTTATGATTGTAAGTATACGTCTTCATCTAGTTTCTATTTTCCTTAAAACGTCCTCGTTACTCACATGTTTAGACCATGTCATTCTCAGCATCCTTCTGTAGAACTTTATCTCTGTTGCTTCATCTTCATCTGTGTGTTTACGGTCAAACACCGGCTCCCGTACAATTACCGAAGTTACGCATCGTCAAGCCTGGTCAGTACCTAGATAGGTGACCGCTTGAGAATTCCTGGTGCTGTAAACTTGAATGTGCTGTTGGTCTAATGCAGGGGTTCTCAACAGAGGTCTACATATATTACATGGATCTTAGGGGTCCATGTAATATTTCTGGGTTTCCACAGGCATAATATAACAAAATGGGGGTCAACAATATGATTCTGCAGAAGGATGCACCGAATCCCATCGACCGAACATGTGAGAAGCGAGGAATAGAGTCAGAAAACGGCAGTTGAAATTTAGGGGTCACATAATGAGAAAAGACGACTTGGAGAACTCACAGGATACATTAAAGAAAGTAGAGACAAAAGGAAACACCGAGAAACCCTCGTTCTGGGATTGGACACGACACAAATATGATTATTATTCTATCATAATTATATTAGAGCTGTAAAGGATAGGAAGCTGTGGAGAGCTATGCTCGTAAAAGTCCTGATAGGACATGGCATATAAATGGAGCTCTGTTGAAAAGCAAACGTTGTTAAGAGCTACAAAGATGAGAAATTGTGGAGAGTTATGATCGTTAACGTCTTGGGGGTGACAGACCACATAGTTGATTATGATTCTATCATTATTATGTTAGAACTAGAAAGAATAGGAAGTTGTGGAGAGCAATGCTCGCCCACCCCCTGATAAGACATGACATAAATTGAGCGATGTTCAAAGGCAAACGTTGCTAAGAGCTACAAAGGATAGGACGCTGTGGAGAACTTAATCACCAACGTCCTGGAAGAGTAGTAGGGAACAGAGATAATTATGATTCTATCAGTATTATATTAGACCTATAAATGATAGGAAGTTGTGGAGAACCATGATCGCCCTCGTCTTGGTAGGACATGGCATATAAATGGAGCGTTGCTGAAAAGCAAACGTTGTTAAGAGCAACAAAATCTAGGAAGTTGCAGAGAGCCATGATCGCCCACATTCTTGGGGTGGATACAGGGCACATAGATGATTATGATTCTATCATTATTATATTAGAATATAAAGGATAAGAAGCTGTGGAGAGCCATGCTCGCCTACGTGCTGATAGGGCATGAGATGAACCGATGTCCCAAAGCAAACGTTGCTAACAGCTACAAAGGATAGTATGTTGTGGAGAGCCATGATCGCCAACGTCCTGGGGGAGTCTTAAGGCAAATAGATAATTATGATTCTATCATTATTATATTAGAATATAAAGCATAGGGTGTTGTGGAGAGCCATGCTCGCACACGTACTGGTAGGCCATATACAAGAAAAAGAATATTGAGGAGAGTCCTGGATATATGTGTAGACTTGCTTTCACTTGGAATCGATTGAAGATTTTCCCTTCCTGTTTATGCGAATATCAGTTGAAAATATAATAACACGCAATTTCAATCTTTATCGCCAAATTTTAACGTTTACACTCACTTTAAGCTGTGGGCATTGATATGGAATAACCATTTTGACTACGACTACTTATGCTACTAATAATAATATCAAGGCGGTAACAATGATATGAAATGGGGTCACTTATTTCCTTCTCCCTAACACCTTCTTCCGCCTCCGAGCACGCCCATTTATTTCATTGTCCAGCTGGGGCGGGTTGGGATCGATATCTTTATGTTAAAGAATCGATTTGATAACAATATGGCGAATGGCCTTTAACAATAACCTCGTCAGCAGGCCTCGAGACGACGACGCAAGGAAACATCAGATTAACAGGGCTTACTCATAGGGACATTCGCACGCAGTAAAGCGCATGCGCGAACAAGACCATCCCAGGGGACATATTTATAGATACGTTTTGATGCGGACACACTAGGTACACCTGCCATAGAACGCTAGTGATGAAGAGAGACTAACATGACACTATATATAGGCTCGATATTCGTTGAGGGACTCGTTTCTTTGGCTTCGTGCCAGATACAAGCGTATATACTCCATTTGCTGAACATATTTCAAAGTATGCATATATAAGACTGCACTGAGTATAGTGGTACGATAAATAGGAGGATGAGTATTAAAAAAAAAACAAATCTGAACGCGTTACGGATACAAGAATCTTAATAAGTTCTTGTAAAATGCAAACCTATAGTATGACTACTGTTAATGATTGTTGAGGCAAAACTAGTAACAGCGCGCTTGGGCGATGTCCCTGATGGAACATAAAGAGGATAGAGGTTCAATTCCTATTGGAGGCACAATCTTTCTAATAATATAATTGTAAAGAAGAAGTTCTAGTCAGATAGCTTTTTACCAAGAACCACTGCTTTACGGCACAGGCTCCCACGTGGATGTTTCCCTGAAACATTACTATCTGAACCTCTTCAATTCAGATGTCAATAGTTATATGTCCTCCATATCCTCATAATGTTCACCTTTTACAATATATATATATATATATATATATATATATATATATATATATATGATCTAGGTAGGATCTAAGACAGTTGGTATTAATTTCACTGTTTAAGAAAATTAAACAAAAAGACAGGAACAGTAATTATCTATACCTATGTATGAATGTGTGTATATTTTTTAATACTCTTGACGTTATTTTTTAGTGTCTACATGTGTTTCAATTACTGTTCCTGTCTTTTTGCTTAATTTTCTTAAACAGTGAAATTAATAGCAACCGGTTTAGATCCTACCTAAATCATATATATATATATATATATATATATATATATATATATATATATATAGAAACTAACCTTACCTGGCATATGTCAGAGGGTATCCCCCAGACGAGGTTCTGCCGAATGGCAGAATCTCGCCTCGGGAAACTGACTCCGTTTTTAGGGAATTTTTGCCTGAGACTACGGACTCGGATGCCCCACTTTAAACTCGGCCTTGTGTCACATCTTCCTGCGTGGTGGAGCGGGTAAATAATTATATATATATATATATATATATATATATATATATAAACATGTTCTTTTTACTGCCACAAAAAGTCAAAATTGATTGAAATATAAGGATCATATTTCCCCTTTTTATTGTTAAAATAGATAAAAAAGTATTTCGTTTAAGAAAAAGAGTGGAGGATTTAAGGCGCCTTTCGGCCGACACTTCTTCAGGAAAATAATCGTCGTCAGTATAAAACAAATAAAAAAAATTATTATCAACGATGGATGTTAAAAACAATAGATTAGCAAGATGTAATAAAAGGGGGAAAATTAAAGGAAGAGGAGAAAGATTATTTTTATACTGTCGATGATTATTTTTATACTGCTGACGATTATTTCTATACTGTTGACGATTATTTTTATACTGCCGACGATTATTTTTATACTGCTGACGATTATTTTTATACTGCCGACGATTATTTTTATACTGTTGACGATTATTTTATAATGCCGACGATTATTTTATACTGCTGACGATTATTTCTTTACTGTTGACGATTATTTTTATACTGCCGACGATTATTTTAATACTGCCGACGATTATTTTTATACTGTTGACGATTATTTTATACTGCCGACGATTATTTCTATACTGTTGACGATTATTTCTATACTGTTGACGATCATTTTTATACTGTTGACGATTATTTTTATACTGCCGACGATTATTTTTCTGAAGAAGTGTCGGCCGAAAGGCGCCATAAATACCCCCTTTTTTTTCTTAAACGAAATACTTTTGTATCTATTTTAACAATGAAACGGGAAATCAAATACACACACACACACACACACACACACATTTTCAAGTGGATAGAATCCAGGTAGATCTCAGTGTCCAGGACAGAGTAAGAATATACAAAGACCTACAAAATCAGACCTACAAATGCAAAAAGCTTTTTTGAATTTCAAGGTCTGATGAATTGGATCGTAATTACGATTCCAATGTAATAAATTATAATCATGGAATATTAGTATTTAAGCCTTTTTAATAGATAGATAGATAGATAGATAGATAGATAGATAGATAGATATAAGTATGAAGACACACACACACACAGAGAGAGAGAGAGAGAGAGAGAGAGAGAGTGAGTGCAATGGATAAATTGTCGTCTAAATTACGCAAAAATGAAAATAGCATCAACAACTCTATGGGTTACAATAATGTCGATATCTAAATATTTTGAACCTAATTGCATACGTTCAATTATAGATAAAATGTATTGCTGTTCATTTTACTATGAATATGTATTTTATCCTTTTATAGTGGTTCGTTTTTGTTTGAGGTCACTATTTGCCCACAGCTGGAACTCTCACAGTCAGGTTGGACCTGGGAACAACGTCAATTAAGAGGTGGTTCAATGTTTCTCAAAACCTCCAATCTCAGGATTAGAGGCCTTGCTGCCGGATGTAGTTTATCGTCATCCCTAGGAATACAGAGAAAATAAATTTAGTTGGATTAACAATAACCTTAAAAATAATGAAGCATAAACAAAGATTGGTGGGGGATTTTATAAATAAACAAAAGTCAAATGAATATTATCAAAGGAAACAAAGATAAGAAACAGAAAAAAATTCGGCTAAAAAAAAAAAGAAATGAAATCACATGACAAGACGTCTTTTACTCTCTCTCACTTTCACTGTTTAATCTGCGTCCAATCAAAAAACACACATCATTTCACAAGGCACATACATGTGTCAGAAACTACTGACCGCGCATGCGCCACTGTATCCAGTAAGCGTTAACCATTATGGCCGCCGAGCCGTTACGCGTCATCGAAGTCTCAAAACTGTAGCCAATCGATTAGCGTCCGATTTTATTTTATTTTTTTTTTTTTGAGTATCGGCCGAGAAATGGATATCTATTATTCATACGGAAAGCTTTTGATTAATACTATTTCGTCAGAAGAACGAACGCCTCAGAAGTTGAACTTAACGGAGATATTCCCTAGTAAACGAACTGACCAATTGGTTGATGGCCAAATACGACTGGTGATTTATTCATTTATTTATAGTGAAGAATAGGAAGAGAGTTATTGCTCAAGGCTACAGGCCGGTGGGTGGTAGATCTGTAAATATGAACGGAGGTTGAGTGCAAACAACTACTGGTACGTACCATAAGACATTTTGACAGACACTGACGCCGATA